CTGCACTGAGCTTCATGTGACTACGTTTGAAATAGCTCTGATGTAAGAAGCATATGTTCGATGTTTGACTCGAAATGTTAATCCGAAAACAGCACAAGCTTTTATATTTAGATGTCCAGCATCTTCCAACCTGTATGGCCTGCATCTGAGGAACAAAAAAATAAATGTTAGGCAGAATGCTAGTTAACGTTACCTTTCACTTTCAATGTATAGAAAATTATCTATGCAGTGGAGGCGAATTGTGACTGAGGCTGTCATTATGCCTGACATTTCTTTTGTTCCACTGAAGAAAGAAAGTCATACAGGTTTGGAAGGTCATGACGGTGAGTATATGATGGGTGAACTATTCTTTTAATTGTAGGTTCTGATCATGTGTGATACCTCAACGCCTCTTGTTTTTGCAGGTAACTGAGCATGCCAGTCATCAGAGCCCTTAGTAAGGTGGCAAAGCAGGCCCTGCTGGCCCCTGCGTGTGGATGTCAGCCTCTGACGGTGGCGATACGCTACATCGGCTTCTCCCCGCGCCAGGTCACCTCTGGATCTGATGCCAGCTTTCATTCTGTGTCCTTCTCTGAAACCGACCACCCCAAAGTTCTCATCACAGGTATGAAAAACGGGTACTTGGTACATTGGCATTTTTTATTTAAGAGTTGGGACTTTTGTATTTTGTCACGTTGATCACACTGGTTTTAGCACGTTTTTAAGATGGGTGGATCCTGACTCCCCTACTGTGTTTTTGCTGAGTCTTTTTCTCTCTCTGTCAGGTGGCCTCGGGCAACTAGGGGTTGGGCTTGCTAAACTATTAAGGTATGCACATTATAGTACATATATAAAAGCATTAATCTTTTGCATTGTAGATGCATTTACAAATGTAATGTTTTACATAAAAACGTATATTACATAATACAGTTCTACCTCCTGTCTCATAGGAAGCGATTTGGAAAAAACAATGTGATCCTCTCAGATATCAGGAAACCACCAAGCAATGTCTTTCACAGTGGTATGTTTTCTGTTAATCTCAAACGAATTCTTACTATAATTTCATGAGAGAAATAATTGGGGTAGCACTCTATTAATGGGTCTGTTATGTTATAATTATATATCCATTTAAACCAGATGTTTGCCAGATGTAGTTTGGAGAGTCATTTGTTAGAGATAATTTATCATTTGTTAATGTTAAGGTAATTTGTTAATGTTAATCGAATGTTAAGGTAATTTAGACGAGTAAAGAAGTGCTAATTATGTTTATTATAGTGGCTAATTAACTGTTTTGTCAAATTTCTTTTAATTAGCTTGGATAATTGATTTAACATTTGTTTGCATGTCTAAAACAGGTGAACATGCACAATCATAGCGTTTATTTAAATAGCTTAATTAATTTTAAAAGATAAAGGATTTTTATCTTCATTTCAATATTGTTAATATTGAGAAATATGTTCAGAGCTAGACTGATCACACAAGTTCTGACATGTTGATTACATTTTTTTTATTTTTTATTTTTTACACAGGCCCCTTTATCTACTCTGACATTCTGGACTACAAGAACTTGCGAGAGATTGTAGTAAATAACAGGATCACCTGGTTAGTGCATTACAGTGCTCTTTTAAGTGCTGTTGGGGAAGCTAATGTGCCATTGGCACGAGCAGTCAACATCACAGGTAAGACTTTAGAAAACTAATGTAAAGTATTGCATTTAGACAGTACATTAAATGTAAAATTTTTATACTTATAATAATCTGCTTCTGTGCTTGTTATTTGTTTTGTTTTTTCAAATAAATTACATGGGTGTTTTACCAGAAAAAATGTATAGTATTTCTATCAAATAGAAAATTGTATATAGTGTTTACTGTAATGTTATAAAGCATTTATTTGTCTAGATCTTTCCATAAAATAGCCTTTGATAACATTAGCTTTTGATTCTGATACGGCACTAAATATAAGTTAATAAATTCATTCTAAATCTATTTTTTTTCTGTAGGACTACACAACATCCTAGACATTGCAGCAGA